TGAAAATCTTTAACCATTAGGTAGATTTTACAACTTGGCTGACCTAACAAAGCTTTAATGACCCTGAGCAGACAATTAAGAACCATGGAAGCATTACCTTTCTGCCCATTCATATCCCATGATCTTCAGCATTTGGAAAACTTGATGAAAATGCTTTTTTTGCCCTTTATCTGTCTTGGGAAGAAAACATACTTAAAATAGTCCTGAGCAGACAATTAAGAACCATGGAAGCATTACCTTTCTGCCCATTCATATCCCATGATCTTCAGCATTTGGAACACTTGATGAAAATGCTTTTTTTGCCCTTTATCTGTCTTGGGAAGAAAACATACTTAAAATAGAAGAACAGTGATAAATTAATCCCCAAAAATAGATTAGACAGGGAGGGAGGGAGGGGGGTAGAGAAAGAGGGAAGAAGGAAGGAATGAAGGAAAGAAAGAAAAGACCACAACAATATGTTGAACTTTCAGGAGAAAACAAACCTAAGGATACTAGAGATGGCGGGGAGGGAGGGTTTAGGAAGTGATAGGTCGGGCAAAGGGCATAAAGAAATATCACGATTTGTAAAAATGAATATGCTAATAATAAAAATTTAAAAAAATAGGTTGGACATGAATTAACATATTTGAGTTTTGACAGACTAATGTCATAATCAATATGTTTTAAATAAAAACACAAAGATGCTACTAGAAGAGTGTCTAAGCTGAGTGCTCTAAAAAAGAGGAAAAAAAGAGCTGCAGCACTCCACCAAATAGAAAGAAATATGAATTTTAGTCTTCTGAATAGTCTATTTTTCATTCCCTCTCAAGCTATTATGACCTTTATCCCCACAAAGACCAAAGCTAAGCTCTAAAAAGTTGTTTGATGGCAACTTTCTTTCTTATTAGAAAGGGAGGTTGCACATGAAAAGGAAGGAAAGGGAAGAAGAGACTATACTACTACTCAGCAACAAAAAGAACAAACTACTGACACACGATAGCTCGGATGGATCCTAAAGGCATTCACTACGCTGAGTGAAAAAATCTTAAAAGGTTATATACTGTATGATTCCATTTATAAAACATTCTCAAAGTGACAAAATTATTGTGATGGAGAACAGAGCAGTGGTTGCCAAAGTTAGGGCTGCGGGGGAAGGTGTGATTATTAAGTGGTTGACCACAGAGAGTTTGTTTCATGATGGAACAGTTCTGTGTTCTGAACATGGTGATAGTTACACAACTTTATACATGTAATAAAATTTCATAAAATCATACCCACACAAATATCCACACCCATACAAGAGTGCGTGTAAAACATGAAATTTGAATATGGTCTTTATCAATGTCAACTTCTTGACATTGGCAAAGTACTACGGTTATGTAAGATACCATTGGTCCCCCAAATGCCCAGGTTCTGCATCCACAGATTCAACCAACTGTGGATCAAAAATATTCAGGAAAAAAAATAGGACAATTAAAAAATAATACAAATTAAAAAAACATTACAGTATAACTACTTACATAGCATTTATATTGTATTAGGTATTATAAATAATCTAGAGATGACTTAAAGTACATGGGAGGATGTATGTAGATTATATGCAAACACTGTGCCATTTTATATAAGGGACTTGAGCATCAGCAGATTTTGTTATCTGAAGGGATCCGGGAACCATTTCCCTGCAGATATCAAGAGGTGATATTATCTTTGGGAAAAGCTGGGTGAAGGGTACACAAAAACACTATACTATTTTGAAACTTGTTGTGAGTCTTAAATTCTTTCAAAATAAGAAGTTATTTAAAAACAACTGCATTACAGTGACCCGTACATATTAATTTCACATAATCGTTTTCCTGATTGGAGTAATTTTCTTTTACTATGAAGCAATGTGTACTTTTTCATTTTCAGGTTATTTTTGTGTTTTAAATAGAGGTTGCCACCTTCAATACACTTAATGTTGAATTCTCTCTGTAGTCTGACAAAACAATTTTATCATAGCTTATCAGCATGGTATCCAATTTTTTTCTCTGCAATTTTCATGAGGTAGGGATCATAAACTCTTGTTCTTTCTTGTGATTACTTACCACATAAATCATTGTATCAAAATTATACTTGTCCATTCGATCTATAGCAGCTGCGAGATCTCTGAAAAAAATGGCCATAAATGAAGAGTTACCAAGCAGATCTGGGTAATAATTTGTTTTACCTATTTAATAGCAATGAGGCTTTTCTAATTAAGAAATCCTATATTATCCTACAGCCTGGGATATACCACCCACGCTTGTATAATCCCAATACCATACTCTGATACAAAACAAAAATAGGTTTGAGAAAAACAATAATAATAAAAGCTCTGGGGAAAGTAATAAAAAAACAAAAATAAGCAAAAACTCTAGGACAAGTAGTAATAATAACTAAAATAGCTTCAGGCAAAGTGTCTTATAGGTAAATGATTTATGATTAGTTAATTAAGTGGCTACTGAAAAGACTCACCTAATTGTCACTTCTCTGCAATACATTTTCTTAAAGGACACATTTAAAAATAGGTGATGTAGTAGCTAAACAGTTATCTTCCAGCTACTCTTCTATTAGTACTATCAAGGACTTTCAAAGTCGTGGGTCAGTCAGAAGCAGTACCTTCTAAAGCACTTCAAAAGACCATAAAATCCTTTGATAAAGATTCCACTTATTTCTTTTATCTTTGATTAAATACAAAATGCCAAGTTTACATGTGGTAGGAAATAATGAAAAATACATAAACTATAACATTTTAAAGTCAAGGATTATGAAAATATTGAAGTTTAAAATTAAAGCTATTTTTGGTTAACAATACTGCACATGGTACTGGGAGGAATGAAAAAATTCCCAAATCTTTTGAAATGTTGGAGATAATGAAAATGTCAGTACTTACCTCATGATCCTGACATTGCTTAGAACATGCATTCTCAATGGAGGAAAAACCTGACTTTTGAGGGGCAATAAAATCTCACTATATAAAGCACAGATATGCATATAATACATAAAGATATACAGTATATTTGTGGTATTAAATTTTTATGAGGGTTGGCAATTAGGAAAAATATGGCTAAAAAGGCTCCTGAGAGGGGTTATAATAAAAAAGGGTTCAGAAACATTGGTTTAGAAGATTACCACAAAAATGATGTCACGGATATACACCCATGTTATATTTTTCAGTCTGAGCCAAAGACAAAACAAAGAGAAGCCTTTTGACTCAATGAAAGAACAAAAAAGAAGAATATAAGAAAAAGTTCAGGCTGAATTTGTAGATCCTGAATTTGAAAGCTGGAAGAAATGCCAGATCATTTAGTCCAGGTCTCTCATTATACAAAGGAACCATGGCCCAGAGAGTTAAGTGAGGGTCATGCTGTCAGAGCAAAAACCCAGGTCTCCAGCCTTACCCTATGTGTTCTTTTCAGTATCTCCTGCACTTTTCTCTGTCTGCTATAACAACTCCTTTAACTCACATCCACACACATAGATGTATTCTATAAAGAACCCACTATAAGGGCAGAAACTACTAATGTCATAGCAAGGTGAAAAATCAAATATTTCAACAGTGGCAAAAAGACAATTATTTTTCCAAAGAAAAAAGGAAAAGTACAGGTGTTATGGTAAATATATAGAAAAATCTAGATCCAATGACAGCCCAGTAAAGATACCAGTCTTTATGATACCTCTATTTTGAACAGATGTTTCTTATAACCACTACTCAAGAGTTTCTGTATTTAAACTGTCTAGCAATAATAAACTGGCATAAATTTTTTTTTTCTATTATATATTTTTTTGTATCTAGAAAAAGAATGTACATCTTAGATATATAGGTTCTCACTTCCTAACCTCAATTGCACTTCCTAACCTAAATTGATAAAAAAAAAAAAAAAAAAAAAAAAATAAAAGTTCCACTACTCAAGAGTTTCTGTATTTAAACTGTCTAGCAATAATAAACTGGCATAAATTTTTTTTTTCTATTATATATTTTTTTGTATCTAGAAAAAGAATGTACATCTTAGATATATAGGTTCTCACTTCCTAACCTCAATTGCACTTCCTAACCTAAATTGATAAAAAAAAAAAAAAAAATAGAAAATAAAAGTTGAATTTTCTACAGGGCAGTAAGAGACTTGATTGGTTGTTTAAGGTTGTTTGGAACAAATGATGGTAGTTAATAAAAATAATAAAATATCATTACTTTGACTAGTTACAAAAGTGGTTTGTGACCTAATAAAAAATTCTGGCCTGGGACACTACAGCCTTTTGTCAGCTTGAGTATGGTTGTGTTTCTTGTGTGGTCTTTCTATTGTCCTACCTTCTCCTTCCTATTAACTTTGTCCCATAACTAAGTATGCTTGATAAACTCAGCTCTTACTGATGAACAGAGACTACTCTTTCCCACAGGGGTCAGTCATGGAGATAGATGAAAAAAATATAAGTGACATGGCATACTTCTACCTCAGCCTATGTTAACACGATCATAATGAGGTCTGGTATTTACATGCGTGTAAGATAGTCTTTATGGCATGAGGACACCACTGAGCCAATATAGTCACTTTCTAGTATACATTTCCTGCCAACGTGCAATTGTAAAATACTTACAGTTGATTATAAAGTTCCTCAGTTTTAGTTTATAGAATGATGTATTTAGCTGTAAAAATTCTGTGATGTTTAACTAACTGTAAACAGTTTTTCAGTCACTTTTCTGATGATATTAAAGCTCCAGAACTGAAATGGGCAATAAATAGAAACCCAATAAATATTTTTTGAATATGAAAGCAACAGATTTAGAACTTGTAACTAGGTTTTGGTAACAGTTTTGAGGATAAAATGGATTATCTTAGTATTAATCCTAGGAAAAAGAACATGAAGTTATATACACAGTCCAATGTTTACCCTCGCAGAAGCTACAAACCTGGTTGCATAGAGAGAAGTCCCATCACTTCGCATTACAGTACAAATTGAGGAGGGGTCACCATTCCCAGAGAGATCCACTATAGCAGTTCCTTTTCTGGAAATGCAAAAGGGTAACTCTTAAGTAACACAATAAATTAAGACCATTAAAAGTATAATATCTATAACTTTATCTTTGGCAAACAGAAGCTATTTTTATCACCCAAGTAGCAATAACCAGTGTCAATTCCAGCTGTAATCAACAATGAAAAATGAACAAGAAGGAATAAGACTGAGAATCTATTAAGAGTAAAAAAACAACAGTAGGTATGATGTAATTAATACTTAGTTATCCTATCTTTTTTTAATCTGTAGCTCTGAGTAAGGTATTCAGATAAAATCCTTAAAATACCCTGTTGAAAAATGAGATTGCAACTGCAGCCTAACTATGAAATATCACAGGTTCTTCTTCTAATTCTAGTTATTATAACATCCAATATTGGGCTAATTTTTAACATGCCATAAAGTACCCCTGAGTAGTAAAATCATAGGATATTGTTGTTGTCTTTCCTGCCTGACAAAAAATTGAAATCTGTATATGACAATCTGAAAGTTTTCCTTAAGACATTACTGAAGATATTATTAACCACCTTCTCCATGTCTTCCTTATAGGATGACAGGAGAAATTTCACTTTGCTACTATGAAAAGAGGTACTTCTCCTAGGCAACTGATTTGCTTTTGATGTCTGGGCTCCTGTGACTGGCACTATTTCTCTGTTTGTTAGGCTGACAGAAAGCTAAAAGCTAAATTAGAAAGTAATTAAGCAAGAAAAAGAAATACAGGTCATCCAAATTGAAAAGTCAGAAATTAAACTGTCTCTGTTTGTAGATGACAAAATCTGTTCTGTTAGAACTAATAAACACATTTAGTAAAGTTCCAAGTTACAAAATCAACATACAAACATCAGTAGCATTTCCATACACTAATAAAAATCAGAAAAAGAAAAATAAATCAAGAGAAAACCCATTCACAATAGCATAAAAAATACTTAGGAATACATTTAACCAAGGATGTGAAAGATCAGTATACTGGAAACTGTAAAACGTTGATGAAAGAAATTGAAGACACAAATAAATGGAAAGATATCCTGTGTTCATGGATTGGAAGAACCGATATTGTTAAAAGGCACATACTATCCAAAGAGATCTACAGATTCATTGAAATCCCTAACAAAATTCTTATGACATTTTTTACAGAAAAAAAAAAAAAAAATCCTAAAATTCATATGGAACCACAAAAGACCCCAAAGAGCCAAAGCAATCATGAACAAAAAGAAAAAAGTTGGAGGCATCGTACTACCTGATCTCAAAATCTACTACAGAACTAAGTAATCAAAACTGCATCACACTGTCACAAAAACAGACACAGAGAACATGGAACAGAATAGAGAGCCCAGGTACAAATCTACACATTTACAGTCTGATCTTTGACAAAGGTGCCAAGGTGATAAAATAAATGGTGCTAGGAAAACAGGATATCTACATGCAAAAATCAACTCAAAATGGATTAAAGACTTAAATGTAAGAACTAAAACTTTAAAACTATTAGAAGAAAAGGGGGAAAGTCTTCTTGACATTGGTCTTGGCAAAGATTTCTTGGACATGACCCAAGAGCACAGGCAACAAAAGCAAAAATAGGGGCCGGCCCGGTGGCGCACTGCTACAGTGCGCCGCTTGGGAGTGTGGCAGTGCTCCCGCC